TTGTCATTATTTAATCAGAAAAAGGCAAGCCAAACTCATTTGTAAGTTATCCGTTCTGAAAGCAGCATCATGAACAAGATTATTACTTTAGGTACCACAGGTGGGCCAATCACTCGGGATTTGTTTGATAACACAGTCTTCCTAACAAATAATAGAGTACTGGTATTGGTTTATCAGAACTACGATGCTATCTACTGTTGTTGTCGGCGGTTTTTAAACCATGTCTTCAAGTTCATTGAATTTTTTCAGGATCTCGCTCCATATTTGGGTGCAGTTGTTCCAGGATTAAAACAGGTCTTACTTGATCCAGTACCAGAGGTAATAACTTAAAACATTTTCCAATACAAATTCCGGCGCAAGTTTTCATCAGCGTGTTTTTTATTTAGGTCCGTGCAGTATCTTCCCGCGCCCTCGGTGCTTTGGTCCTGCGGTATGAGCGAAAAGTGCTTTGAAGATCTGTTACCGTGGTTGATGGAGATTCTGACGTCAGAGAACAGCAACGTAGACAGATCAGGAGCAGCTCAAGGTATGATGTTTCACATCTCACACCCTGTTCACTGGAAATCTCAATTCCTCAAAATTTCTCGCGGCGGTTTACCAACCAGCCCGCCGACGCGATCTAGTAGCTCCTTTCGAAACTAATTATCTCATTGCTTTGATATAGGAAGGTTTTTTGAGATCGCTTGCTTAGAATTTTTCAGTTTGTTTAGTGCTCAAACATTGTACACAGAAAAATTTTTGTACTATCCTTGCACTTCACAACAATTACGCGTTTCTGTTTTAGGTCTTGATGAAGTTTTGTGTGCTATGGGTACCAACAGACTCGAGAAACTTATGCCGGAAGTGATTTCAACCACAGAGCGCGTTGATTTGGCGCCACATGTACGCGAAGGATACCTGATGCTGTACATCTATCTTCCTTCAACTTTCAAAGATGACTTTATTCCATTTGTGGGACCCGTCATACCTTCTGTGCTGAAGGTAACATCACTAGTCAGCTTCTTTCTTCTCCTTTGGTATATAGAGCTTGTGAGATGATGCTTTTAAATCAGTTTATAAAGCTAAATGATATTAGCTTTGTAAAAGATAATTATAGCTAAAATTTTATACTTGATTTATCATTTTAACATAGCGATTTTATTTCAAGAAATTAGATACAAATTGAACTTAACAGCACAAAGACTTTTCAGAGTTTCAGCTTGAACAAAAGAAACGAATTTTTATCAACATAAATAGATGATATCACATGCCCACGTTACGTGTGATTTCTTATGATATGCTCGTTAATGATTTCACAAGCGGGTTTATGGTCAGGTTATTGCCACGATGTAGACCCTTAAGCTCGTCAGTTTATTAATTAAGGTGGAGCTAAGTCTACCGTGCACCAAGAACTTCATCAATCAATCCTTTAAAAAGGGGAAACTTCCCTTAAGCAGATTAAGTCATAACAGAGCTCCAACATTTACCACCGTACGTGTGTGAACTCTCTTCTTAAGTGGATATATCTTCTGATCTTTGTGGTATCTACTAACTTGACCTTCGTCTGTATCTCTGCTATGAAGCTCTCAACCATACCTCATCCCACTGAGTTCTCACAACCGCACTAAGAACTGGATACAGGGAATTTGACATATTCTTCATCTTCTTTCAAGGGCCTGGCAGATGAGTCCGAACATGTGCGAGACACGTCTCTAAAGGCTGGTCAGCGGATTGTGAACTTGAACGCCAACACAGCCATTGAACTGTTCTTACCGGAGCTGGAGAAAGGATTGTTTGACGATAATTGGAGAATACGACACAGTTCTGTCCAACTACTGGGTGATCTGTTGTACGAGATATCTGGTGTAACTGGTAAAATGTCCACTGAAGGCAAAGAGGATGATAACTTTGGAACCAGTCAGTCCAACCAGGTAACGCACAAAGTTAAAACAGTTACATTGCACCTACTGAAACTGGGTCCAGCCAGATGCTGAAAACCAATCAGTGTCCAGGAGGGAAACAAATCGAACCAATCAAATGCGTTGTTCATGCTATATCTCACGAGCAACTAATGAGAATAGAGAGTGAAACCCAGTAAACTGCCTGATGCGCGGGAAAAAACATGAATGATGAAGTCGGGATTGGTTTCCGTTCTGCTTCCGATTGGCTGAGAGGGTGGTGGGAGTTTTCTGGACCACAGAGTGAAGCAAAGTACAACCAATGGGATCCCAGACTGCTTTTGACACGTAACTGAAAATTGCTCTTTTGATATTTGTATTGTAGCCACGTTTTTTTTTCTTTTTCACAGGCCATCATCGAATCCCTGGGTGCAGAGCGCCGTAATCGTGTGTTATCCCGGCTATATATGGGCCGTTCTGACGTTTCCCTGATGGTGCGCCAGGCGGCCTTGCACGTGTGGAAGGTTGTGGTCCCTAACACGCCTCGTATCCTAAGAGAGATTCTCCCCACGCTGTTTTCTCTTCTACTAGGATGCCTAGCGAGTACCAGCTATGACAAGAGACAAGTAAGTGTTGCTTGTCAGGTCATCGCGAGTAAACTGTATTTTCCGTTCGTTTATTTGGTGGAAAATGTGGTTGTTTTGATGAAATAGTTTTATACCGCATTCAATTCAACCTGATACACGCATTGGTCTTTACAGATGAGTATTAACCCTTTATACCTTAACATCAATATCCTTATTCTCCATACCCTTCTCTAAACATTTCCTTTGTTATTGACAAGGAG